TAAAATCAGAATTTTCTTTTGTAAGGGATGCTGATGAAGTTGAAAAATCATTTCATACAATACTCAAATCGGTATTTTCTATAGAACTTGTTAAACTTTAATAGTTTTATTTGGTGGCAGAATGGCAGATAGGTACTACAAAAATGAAAAAAAAAACATTTATTGACATAATTTGCATTTCATTTGTTTTATTAAATTATATTTAGTTAGGTACCTTATATAAAAATATAGGTATGTATAATCTTGAATAATCAAGTATCAAAATAAAATTGATTTTGTGTACCGGGTATTGGCTACTAATATAGTACTACATGTCCTATATGTACGATGTACCTATGTAAAAATAAGTCACGTATTATTATTATACTAGCTGCCCATGTGCATCGATTCCGGGCGTTGTGGAAGCTGCCTCCGGCGCCTTCGAGGTGGTCGAGTGAAAATCGTTTCAAGGGAAATTCGAAAAGAAATTAAACCGTACCGAAAACTGTGACTTGGAGTGTAGAGTGGTCTTTGCTCGTCTGGTGTAATACCGTGCCCCGCTGTATGCCCGGTTCTGTTTTGTTGACTGTATAAGAAATTAGAAATTGCGAATAATTGTAATCGAATGTCTAGCCATCAATCCTCGCTCTATGCAAATCTATGAGTTATAGGGCATGTGTGTATGGCGGATCGGATGCATGACCCGCGTCGTCGCATGCTAGATGCAAGTGAAAAAATGGGAAATTCAAAAAGAAATTAAGTCGTATAGCTGCCGCAATTTTTGAGTGTCTAGGAAGTCAGTCACCCGGCTCGATTTTGAGCATAGTGTAGTGATCCCTCACTAACGCTTATATTTTGAGTTTGACGACGTTGATGATTGAGTAGGAGAAAAGGTTGCAGAGTTACAAGTTACAACGTTATAATTTAAGTAATTTATTTTAAAGTTAATAATAATATAATGGTATTACATTTGAATATAGAAATTTGAGGACAGAGCGATAAGCGTCTGCCCGAGAGATTAGTGGTTAATACTAAGTACTTACAAGTATTTACGTCGTACTAGCACTGAGCTAATTCTAATTTAGATACAGACGGAGACTCGTATATATACAAAGTCTCCCTAGGTTATTAGGTACACGGTAGAGACTCGGAGGTGGATCAAAGGAATACCGGCGGTATGCAAGGTACCGGCGTAAATGTTAAAAGTTGTCGAATAAACCTTGAGTTGTGAACTGGTTAGGAAATTAGGAATTGCGAATAATTGTAATCGAATGTCTAGCTATCAATCATCGCTGTATGCAAATCTATGAGTTATAGGGCATCTGTGTATGGCGGATTGGATACATGTCACGTCGCATGCCCTGTTCTTTTGTGCGTGCAAAAAGGATAAATGCATAACGAAAACGGTAATTGTGTGTCTAGCTTTCAGTCCTCAACCGGTACAAATTTGTGCGTTTACTGGGCATACCTCCTAACGTCGATAGTCTGATATTGTATTATTGTAGGAGAAAATGTTAAGCCGAATGTCAATTGAATAAAAAGGTTAAGAGGACGCTACACACAGGTTTTAACCACCTAAAAACATGTTTTAGCAGAATTGCTCTCATTTGAGCTGTATTTATCGCACAAAAATCAAATTTCGACCACTTAAGGATAACAATATTATCTGGGTTCCTATGTTGGATAATAAGTATACGTCTACTCAGTCGTTTGTTTTAGACTGTAGAAAATTATAAAATGACCAAATATTTAACGTTTAATAAAAGTTACTATTTTGATGGTATCTAAAAGATCCAACATAGGAACACAGATAATGTTCTCACCTTCGTGTTTACGAAAGTAGGTTTTTGTATAATGATTGTAGCCCAAATGAGAGTGATTCTCCTGAGACATGTTTTTGAAAAAAAATTCGTATTTGTATAACCGTATAGTGCTGCTCTGGTGGCTATAGCGGTTGCGTACAAAACTGTACCGTCTGTACCCGTTACCCCCACACCGCGCACGATACCGCACCATAGATCGAATAGACCGGTTATCTATCGAAGGCGCGCACGGTTTATAAATATCCAAATTGTCGATACGAAAATAGCAATATTTCTGATAAATATTAATTATTTCCCACACAAGCCGATGTTTGAAGCCGGCTTTTATAAACCTATAAAGTATAAACCTAGTAATTTCAATTGGGAAAGTGTATAGGTATCTACAAATTCAACAGTGAACGTCGCGCTGTATTTTGGTACCTACGCTTGATTGGTTATTTATTTTATTTTATTGCAACTGTGCTGTGCAAATTGTTTTTTTATTATGTCTCCCTATAAAAAAGCTCGAACGGTTAAAAAAAATAACAAACAGCATAAATCGGAAATGAAGGCCCGATTACGCATGGCTAGAAAAAATCGGAGTAATATGTAAGTATATATTTACTATTAAGTTTTAAAATGCGAAAAAAAATAAAAACGAAAAAAATTTGAGAAAAACGGGAATTTTTACCAGTTTTCAACAAAATTTAATTATTAATTTGGCTGTTACTCAAAAACTTAAAACTGTAAATAATTTAAATCAAATGTTTATATTGGCATCACCTATACATGGTATAACTTTTGAAAGTTTTTGAGTTTTTTTGAGCTATTTATGGACACTTGAAATTTTCAATTTTTCTTAGTTTTTTGTTTTGAAATGTATATAAAAAAAATTTGGCTAGCCAAAAAATTTTGTACAATCAATACAAGGATCCTCGTAAGTTTTAATTATCATCATTAAATACAAAAATAAATATTGTAAGCAAAACTAATGGACAACCTATTGTACTAAATTTTCAATTCTTAGATATGAAAACAAAAAAATTTGCAAATATTCGTGATTTTGAAGATTTTTGTCAATATCTGAACTTCAAAAACTTATAAAAAGAAAATTGTGCCTATTTATTTTGATATTTTATTCACTCAAACATTAACTTATGATGTACAACCTTTTATTACATTTTCAAGTATTTTTACCAGGGTTGGAACGTATAATACAGCCTGTACAGTATAAAACACGTATTATACCTATACGTGCGTATAAAACGTAAAGTATAAAACTACTTAGTTTTATACGTTTTATACTGTATCTTTATTCTTCATTAATATTAGTAGGTATTTATTACTTATTAATTTATAATAACAAAAAATAAATTTGTTTTGTTTTTAATTTTGATTTCATTCTAAATTTAAGAACATTTTCCACTTTGATGTTGAAATTTATAAGTTTATAAGTTTTTATTTTAATATATTAAAATTTAAAATGTACAGTACCTATTATACTATTATCAGTATTATCACTATTATAAATTTTAAAGAAAACAATTTATACCTAATACTCCTTACGTCTTGGTCGTTATTAAGATTTAGGTATACATTTTATACGTGGGGTATTATACGCGTATATTACCAACCCTGATTTTGACTCAACCAAAATATTTTTATTGACATTTATGAAATCGCGAAAATTTGAAGGTATTTTGTTGTTTGAAATTCATAAAATGATGAGTATATTTTATACCTTAAGTTAGAATATATTTTAGTACAAGGTTCTCCATAAGTTTTTCTCCAAATACATGTAAAAAAACACTATTGGAATAATACAAAGTGTTATTATAAACATTTGAAATTTAAATTTTCATAAATTCGCGTAAAATTACGATTTAGCCTCAAACGATTTTAGATAGGTATTTATTTTTAATCAAAAAAGTATAAGAGCGTAGAAACTTGAAATTTTGACCAGTTATTTAAAATGACATTGTCTTCAGATGATTTTCTTATCAAAATATTTCGTTAATTTTTAAGCTATTTACAGGTATTTTAAATATTTGATTTTTTTAATTTTTTTTTTTAAATTTTGATAAAAAAATTTCAGCTGATTCAAAATGTTTGAAAATGTAATAGAAGGTTTAACATAAATTTATCTAAGATTTATTAAAAAATTATTCAAATATATAGGCACGATTTTAAAAAAAAAGCTTTTGAAGTTCAAATATTGACAATATTCGTCAACATCAAGAATATTTGCCAATTATTTTGAAATAATATTTTTGTTTTCTTCATAATTAGTACTGTAGATAATGTGAGAGAAACTGACCAGGATATTTCTAATGTTGAATTTAGTTCTCCAACACAAAAGTAAGTTAAATAATAATATATTAATATTATTTACTTTAAAATAATAACATCGTTGTTTTATTTCATAATTAGTATTGTCGATACTGTGATGGAAACTGATCAGGACATTTCTAATGTAGAATTTAGTTCTCCAACACAAAAGTAAGTTAAGCCCACCGCACACGACGCTTGTTTTGCTGCGTGATTGACTTGCTCGATTTCCTGCTTGGTCCCAAGTTGGCTGCTGGATTGGATGTTCTGATGGCTGCCTTGCGATGTTGGCATCACACGTTGATTGTTGGCATTCTGGATTTTTAGATTTTATTACTTATCACTGATAACTCATTAGTAATCAGTAATAAGTGTTATCACAGTTCGCGCCAAATAATAAATAATATTAAAATGAAATTTTGATTGCAAAGTGTGTTAAAAAGCTTTTATTTTTACATTTTTACAATATTTAATATAATTTAAAAAATGGATGCACTTATAGCTGAAGTCGTCCGTCGCCGAAGAAATGCAATCAGTGTTTTTTTGTTAATTGAAAAATTAAGACGAAGCAACAATGTTACGAAGCCAGCCAGGTTATGGAGTCGTTCTTGGCTATTGCGTCGTGACAAGCACCAAAGTGTTCTGAATATGCTTTTGAAGAACTTGGGTATGTCAACATAATTTAAATTTAACAGATTTATTATACTGACTCTTACAACACCTACAATACAACATTGAGGTACCCACTTACCCACCATTTTAATTTTAGTATTGGTTCATTTTAGCCCAGAAGATCCTGCATGTTTCACAAATTTTACCCGAATGCAGGAAGATTATTGGAATGAATTACTGACACTTGTGACGCCTCTAATTTAAAAAAAGGATACAGTTATGCGTAAAGCAATATCATCAAGGGATAGACTTTCTGTTACTCTTCGATACTTGGCAACTGGTAATACCTTCAAAGATCTGAGCTACTCCACACGCATTGCTCCCAATACTATTTCTAGCATTGTACGCTCTACTTTGGCGGCAATTATCCAAATTCTAGGACCTAGAGTAATCAATCTCCCATCAACAGCGGATGAATGGGAACTAGTTGGTCATAAATTTGAAATGTTATGGAATTTCCCTCATTGTATTGGCTCATTGGATGGAAAGCATATAATTTTCGTCTGCTAGAAAAGAGGGATCCAAATTTAGAAATTACAAAGGGAAAGATAGCATAGTTTTGCTAGCCTTGGTTGATGCGGAATACAAATTCTTGTTTGTCGATATCGGAATGAATGGTCGAATGCATGATTCAGCTGTCTTCCGTGAAAGTCCATTAGGTAACAAAGTATATTCCAATACTTTACCTTTACCTTTCCTATGTGAAGTACCTGGATTCCATTACAAATTGCCGTATGTAAT